TTTTTCCAATAAAAGGAACCAGGGTTTTTTGGAGAAAAGGCTAATCTCACGTCTGGGACAGAACAGTACAAAATGAGCCTAGAACACTCCCTAGTGCCAGCAAGCAAAACACGTTTAAAGATTAACGGAGATGACGGGGCACGGGAACTAATCTAAAAGGGGCTCCTTCTGGCCAAAACTGAGACAATTTGAACATCCAAGGAGAATATTGGCTGAGGCTGGTTGACATACAGTAAAGCTGAGAAGTCATGGGTTCGTGATGATACACACAAAAAAGTTAATGAGTATTCTAAAAGTAATCAAATAGGACAGATTATATATCTGTTGAGACTTGTTATTCAATCATGTTGGAATTACTGACTCATTTATTGTACAGTTAAAGAATAAGGAAACTAGTAAATGTATAAACACCAGTTAGTAGGCATTTTCTAACATAAATATTAGAATGACCCATATATTGTGACTGTGAGCCGCAAAACACCTATTAAATGCACACATGCAACACTCTACCAGGTTCTAAGTTGTAAAAATTCAGCAAATTCCATCAGGTTATGAAAAAGAATCTAGGAGGCCTGCCTTAAATGTCAGTAGATAATATCAATCCACTAGAATAACTGCTTTCTTCAGGTTGGTAAGCAGTTTTCAATCTGGGAAGACTTAGAATTAAGTATAGCAATGTTTATGAGAATTAGACCCATTGTACGAATATGGTTCAGTTGAGAGAAATAGCGCATATTTTGTTTTTTATATACCCATAACGTAGGGGACAATTTGGCCTGTTTAGAGTGACAGCCTAGTAGCAGTTATTTGAAATGTATATGTGAGTAACAGATTTAGACTAATTTTTTAGGTGAAGCCTAGTTATTTCTGTATTGGAATGTCTAAAGAAAGCTTTAGGTTCCTTAACACATGTTTAGCTTATTGGACTTATAAGAAGTTGTTAGTTTTCATTAAAGTTTTGTTAAATCATTGTTTCTTAAAATACTAAAAAAAAATGCTTCAAGTGATGCAGCTGCTGACTCTGTTCCCTCAGAAAAAGGAGGAACAACCTACACGCTGGGCACCGATTCTATCCCTCAGCCCCATGTCGCTCATCAGCTGCACTCAGGCCTGACTAGGGCAGGCTGCCTCGCCCTCTGCTCACAGCCTCTAGGTCTGCCCGGTCCATGTCCTGGGGCCCTCGATTCTCCCTCACCGCCCTCATCCAGGCGGCCCACCCAGCAGCACTCTTGGGGAGAGGGAGAGATGACAAAGTACACCTTTCACATTTGGGTTTGCAGCTGGATTTCCTAAGACAGCCATTTTTCATTGTGTGCTTCAGCTACCTGCACCGCTGAAGGCTTTCCTGACCTTCCCGGGCAGCAGGCGTGTGCTGCTGCAGTGTGCCTATCCTCCCTGAGCCAAGGCTCCCCACTACAGTACAGCAAATGCAGCCTAAAGCTAGTAGGAAGAAGGGCACCATTACGTTGCATCAATGACTGATCCCTGAAGTCAAACAGGGCCCTGAGCATAGGGAAAAATGGCTGTCATTAAGCCTGTGCACATACTTTACTCGGAAGAGTAGGCATGGAGTTACCTCCTGCCCTGTTAATCTGGATGAGCAACCTAGTGCAAGTACATATGATATTGATGTAGCAAGCATGGGTCACCTCATCTCCCTTAGGTACCCTTTGGTTATTTCCATCTGCAGAGTTTACAACACAATGGACTGAGGTACTTGTTAGGAGTTGATATATTGACAGTAATGCCAATTTAATAATCAACTGTAAGGTAGATTCAGGTTATCAATGCTAAATGAGCTAGTGAAGGCACTGCTGTATTACAGCATAGCAAAGACTCTGGTCATAATGATAACTCTCAGCCCTCCTGAATAAACAAATCTGAACTGTATTTGTTAGGCAGAGTCCTAAGCAAAATTTGACTCCAGTGTCTCCAATCTTCCCTTTTTACTATATTTCTTTTCTCTTGTTGAAAAACCTCTCTCCTCTAGGTACTGAGTGACTTTCCTCTGACCTCTGGAAAGTCAAATCTCCCTAAAGAAGGATGCTTGGCTGCCCTCTCTAAGACTCCACCCCCCGCAATGCCAAAATTTTTTCTTGTATTTCATTTATTAGGCCTCTGTTCTTTCTGCTAAGCTAATAGGGGATATATACTCTCTGTTTCCAGGTAATACTTTCATTTTAACAGGAACTGGAAATAAAGTATCGACTTGAAGGTTCCCTGTGAAACCTAATTAAAAAACAGTTGTGAACATTAAAAGGATATTAAGGGAACACTATGAACAACTCTAGCTGCATACATTCAACAACTTAAATGAAATGGACCAAAAACTAAAAGTATAAACTACCAAATCTCACCCAATGTGAAATGGATAATTTGAATAGCCTTGTAACTATTAAAGAAATTGAACTTGTAATATTAAAAACTCCTGAAAAAAGAACTCTCCAGGCCCTGATGATATCATGACAGAATTCAAACAAATGCTTGAAGAATTAACATCAATTCTGCACAATCTTTTCCAGGAAAAAGAAGATGAAAAAACACTCCCAACTCATTTTATGATGCTGGTATTAACATGCTATCAAAACCAGACAAAACTAGTACAAAAAGAAAACTATAGACCAATGTGCCTCACGAACACAAAAAAAATCCATGACAAAATATTAGTTAATGGCACCCAGCAATATGAAAAAGAATTGTAATTCATGACCAAGTGGGGTTTGTTCCAGAGATTCAAGGCTAGCTCAATATTTGAAAATCAATTAATGTAGTCCACCATATTAACATGCTAAGGAAAACAACTTACATGATCATATTAATTGATGCATAAAAAGTATTTGACATCACCCACTCAGGATAAAAACTCTCAGAACAGGGATAGAGAGTGTCGATACAAATAATCCATAAAAAATCCATAAATCAAAATTGGGGCGAGTTTATTCTGAGCCAATTCTAAAGACCGTATAGCCCAGGAGAGTCCTTCCACAAAGGAATGGAGCACTCCAAAGTGGGGTGTACAGAGTGGTTATATACCATCGAAGAGCATGCATTACATATGATTGGAATGTCCCTTTTACAATAGTCACGAGACTGCTTTGCCAGCACAGCAATTTGATGAACACAGCAGGTCAGTGGTTGCAAGGTGGGTGGTCACAAGGTGAGCACAGCAGGTCAGCAATTAATCCTTAGTTTAAGGAGCGATGCTTGTCCTTACGGAAATGCCAATGCGGGGGAAGTTACATCCTTATCTTAACGGCATTGTTCTTGTCTTTGGGACATAGTAAATACTTACAGCAGATATAAAATGCATGCTCAACAGCCACGTCAGGCCATTTTGGAAAAAGAAGTTTGGGCCAAATTAGTTTTACACCAAATGGCTTCCTCATATACTCCAACATCCTATTGCCAGTCATTTATTTATCAAGGGGAACTTCCTCAATTTGATAAAGAACATCTACAAAAAACCTATAGTTAACATCATACTTTCTGGTGAAAGAACACTTTCCCATTAAGATGGGGAACAAGGCAAGGATGTCCACTCTCACTACTCATATTCAACAAAGTACTGGAAACCAGAAAGGACTTTACTGAACACATCCTTAGACTGCCACTTTGGTACAGTGGCAGAAAGCCAGGGGGAAAAGCAAGAACAAGAGTAAGCAAATGGAAATTCTTCAAGGGGGTTCAGAATGATCACCCAGTTGAGTTTAAAAATGCAGCTGTTCTTTACTGTTCTTTCTTGAACAAGCTTCAAGTTGATTCTTCATTTTCCAAGGAGATAGTTGCGTTTACATTAGAAGAGCCTATCTAGCTGAAAATATCTGAGATGCAGTCTTAGCTTAGTGAAGGTGGTTGGAAATCCTAGAGATCATCTGGTGTACTGTTTTCAGGATTTTTCACAGTGCCTGGCCCACAGCAGATAAATGTCACATGTGACACACGAGGAAACTGAAGCTCAAGTAGATTAAACTACCTGACCACAGCCAGATAATTTGTTCCCTACGTGGGATGCTCCTTCCCTGGCGATTAGCTCCCACATCTCTGGTTAATTCCATCTCTTCCAAAAACGTTCCTGACTTCCTAAAGCTGGACCTTGCCCCCACGCCCCCACTCATTTTACTGGCACATGTTATTCCAGTTTGCACTATATGTCTAGTCTACTCCTTATGCGATGTCCTCCTCACCACGCCCTGAGGGCACGGATCCAGTCGGTTGCCTAACAGCCGGCACCCAGCGCAGTGTTAGCAGAGTACGGGCACCACATTACTTGTGAATGAAGCTTCCAGCTCCTCTCCAGGGCAGGGCCTCCTTTACAAGAATTTGAAGAGACAGAGGGCAGGACGCAGGCACTTTCCCATAGAGGCGTCTTTGAGTTGAGTACTTGTGATCCACTGCAGAGCCAGCTGCCAGCCCGACTCTCACCACAGGCATCCCGCAGGTGGGGCTGCCCGCTCGGCCCCGCCCCCCTCCGCTCTCCCCGAAGGGCCGCACCGGCCCCTCCAGCCCTTGTCCACGCGGGCAGTGGTCCCCAGCGGGCCGCGCCGAGCCCCAGGACAGCGGTCTGCAGACGTCTCAGAGCCGTCCTCCGCGCCAGCAATCCCCCCGAGAGCCAGGAGTCCGCGGCCCACGACCGGCGGGCGTTGACTAGTAACGCCCCCGGCTTCCAGAGGCCCTGACAAGCAGCGTCCACAGGCGGAGCTGGAATCCTGGTCTCTGATTCCTTCCACTGCCTCAGCGGGAAGTGAGCGTCCCCGGGTTAAGTCAGCCTTTTCCAGACGTCCTAGCTTAGCGGGGAGCCCAAGTTCCTTTCTTGGGCCCAGGCTCCCGCCCAGACCCCGGTACGACTGCCTGGCTCCCGCCTCGAACCTCGGTAGTCGGCCCATAAACTCCCGCGAACAGCACCGGAAACGAGACGCCTAGGGCGGAAAAGCGTAACCGACGGAATGGTCCCCCGGAGCCTCTTCCTGGGACTGTCTAGGTTTCTACCGTTTCTCAATGGTACTTCCGGTTTCTCCCTGCGCTGTTCCCGCCTCTTCCCTTCCGCCGCCGGGATTTGACGGGCTCTCGCGAGACCTAGGCCTCTTCCCGGGCCGGCGCTCATCAAGGTAGGTGTGGGGCTTCTTGTCTGTCGGCACTTTTCTGCCGACTTTGAGGAAAGCACGCTTTGGAGTCAGCCCTGGAGCGGCGGGCCCTGATCGGCGGGCGAGGATACGGCCGATTACGCGGCCCGTGCCCCCCGATGGCTTCGGGGCGGGCCGGGGCGGGGGCCGGGGCCGGGTTCCCAGGCGGGCGGGCGGTGGCGGTGGTCTGCGCCCGAGTCGCGGAGACCCGCCCAGCCTAGAGCGCGCTGTGCTCGCAGGAGAAGGCCATGTTCAGTTCGAGCGCGAAGATCGTGAAGCCCAATGGCGAGAAGCCGGACGAGTTCGAGTCCGGCATCTCCCAGGTGAGGGGAGGGGCGGGCTGGGCCCCCGTCGCGTGCCCCCGGTCGCGTGTCCCCGGCTGCCTGTCCGCCTGTCGCGTGTCCCCCGGTCGCGTGTCCCCGTCCGCCTGTCGCGTCCCCCGCCGCCTGTCGCGTGTCCCTGTCCGCCTGTGGCGTGTCTCCTGTCGCGTGTCCCCTGTCGCGTCCCCCGCCGCCTGTCGCGGCCGCGGGTGTCGGGGCCCGGGGTGACCGCACGTGGGTGGCCGCGTGGGCCGGGCGCTGAGGCGGCTCTGCTCCTGTGCTGCAGGCGCTCCTGGAGCTGGAGATGAACTCGGACCTCAAGGCCCAGCTGCGGGAGCTCAACATCACGGCAGCCAAGGTGACCCGAGTCCGGTCGGCGGGAGCGCGGCGGGGGTCCCGACGGCCCCGAGCCGCTGGGCCGTGCGGCGGGTGGGGGCGTGTCCGCGTGCGGGGCCTGGGGGCCCGGGCGGCGGGGCAGGCGGTGCAGAGGGGCCGGTGGCTGTAGTCGTCTCACTGCTCCTGGAGTAGGACGTGGCAGAGAGACGGGAAATTCTTTGAGGCCTGCTCTCCGCGTTAACTTGCAAAAAGTATGCGTTACAAGTTAGCTCTGGAGGTTAGACTTGGCTCCTAATTTGGCCGCAGCGGGTACTGTTTACTGTCGAGGCCGTCGTCCTGCCTCGGTGTATCTCTTTAGCGCGCAGGTTACCGAAATTAGTTGTTAATATCCCGTCTTGGCTGTAGAAGGTACAGCGTGCCTGGAAAGTCAGAGCTTGCGAAGAGGCCTGTGCAGGGGACAGCCAGCCTCATCTTTGGTAGCAGACGACTTAGATTTACTTCCTGGGGTAGAAGGTTACCCGTGCGTGCTCGTTGTCAACTAGTTCACGAGCTGAAACTTGGGCACGTCGGATTCGCGAGGCGTGAGCAGGACTGACGGTGAGGCTGTGGTACCGGCAGCGAGAGATGAGCTGGAAAGGGGTTTAAGAAAGGAGCGCCCACGATGCACGTGTCGCAGTGATGACGGTGCTCGCGGTGAATGTCACCACTTGATGTTGTACCTGGGAGAAGAATGGAGGTTATGAAGTTAAAATAGTGTCTTTTTTTTTTTTCCTTTAGGAAATTGAAGTTGGTGGTGGTCGGAAGGCTATTATAATCTTTGTTCCTGTTCCTCAACTGAAATCTTTCCAGAAAATCCAAGTCCGGCTAGTACGTGAATTGGAGAAAAAGTTCAGTGGGAAGCACGTTGTCTTCATTGCTCAGGTAGCTGTTGTTGAATGTTTTATTTTGTGAATTTGTTAAAATCACTTGTGTTTAGACTTTGTGTTGATGGGCGGAATAATTAAAATAACCCTTTTGTGAATACAGAGAAGCTACTTCAGGTGGTAGGGTGCTGGGAGAGTTGTGCTTGCAATGGGTGGAAAAGATAAAGTACGCTCTTGCTAGTAGTACTAAAATGGTTTTCACGTTTGCAATGCCATAAATGTAGTGGGTTGCTTACAGAGGTGATCAGACAAACTGAGGTGTGTGGTTACTCTGAGCCGTGATTTTTCTGCCTGATAGAATTGCTTGTCTGAGGCTCTCACTGCTCAGGTGAGTCAGATGTAGACTTTGGGAGGAAAACAGTTGCTAAAGAATGGTTGGTAGGAAAAAGGGCAAATAGTCAAGAAAGGTTTTTTTAAAGTTCAGATCTGGCCTTGCTGCCAACAGAAGTCTATGGGAATTGAGAGGCAGACTGATGAGGAATTAAAGGAATTGTATTCTGGCTCAGTAACCATATTAGTACCTGTGTTGGGTAGTGGGCCTGATTAAATGTGGAAAGGTACGTAATATTTGGGAGATAAGTCAAATCATGAAGTAACTGATTTTTTCCAGTACTATTTTAATAGAAGCTATGATTCTAAGCGAATTATTGAGAAATCAGGAAGCACTTCATTGGATTTCTCAATAACTTGTTTAATCTTGGTTGTTTGGTTTTCTTGAACTTTGAATTTATTCTCTTAATAAGTCTTTTTGCTTTTAAAGCAGTTTGACAGTTCTTAGCTTTCTGCCAACTTAAAGTCCTTTTTCTTTTTTATTTTGTTGCATGATAATTTTTACCTTAGAGGAGAATTCTGCCTAAGCCAACTCGAAAAAGCCGTACAAAAAATAAGCAAAAGCGTCCCAGGAGGTGAGTATTGTATCAGCATCAAAATGTGTGTGCTAGTCTTACTAACAACTCTTGATTTGTGTGGGTTGTTTATAGTAAGAGTTGCAGTAGGTGTCTAAAATAAATACTGTTAGTTTCAGAAAACCGTTAACATGGGGAGTTTTGTAGAGTAACTTTTGGTATACTCTGTAATTATACGTAGAATGTTTTCAACTTAACTCACATAGGTAGTATAATAGGTCACTGCTGTCATAAAAGGTGCGACTCTTGCCTCCAGTTCTTGGGGCAAAGAATAGGAGCAGCGAGAAGGAAGCGTTAGTTTAGTGCTGTGGATAAAGCACACCAGACACAGTGGAGGTGGGCTGGGATGTATCTGCTTTCTTTTTGCTGTGAAATAAGGTTAAAAAATTAGACGGATTTTCTGTTGCTGGTGTCACTGCAGCCTTAGGTGCTGATGGACGCTGTTCTGTGAACCTGACTGACTCACAGCCCGTCGGGTGTGAACTCAGATGTTGATGGTTGGCGCCTTGATCTAGGCCTTCTGGTAGTTGTTCAAGTCTCTGGTTACACAGACTTGGATTATTGGATTTCTGCAGACCCTGCCCAAGGAACCAGTTTGAGAAAAAATGTTCTAGTATCTCTAACTGGCAGATAGGCAACAACCTTATGAAGTATATAATTTGTATTATCCCTCCTTAATGGATGAGAAAACGAACCCAAAGCTTGGAGAATTTGCTCGTTACAGCTACTGATAGTTATGCTGGAATTTTTAAAAATTCCGTCTTCTCTCTAAAACCCTTGGAAAATAAAGTTGATGGGACGCTAGTACTGTGGGTAGATGTTACTGTATCACTGGTGGGTAGGAAGGAAAGGGAGTAGTGGATGAGGCTGCAAAGGCAGGTGCTAGGTGTTCTGGAACTTAACTGATATGGCTCAGTACTTTGAACTTGTTTTATGGGCAGTTGGAGTAGCATAAGACTTTAGGAATTTTTTTTGTATTCTAGATAATTGGTAAGAGATCAGATATAGGCGATAATCAAGAACATTTAGGTAGTTGAGCACAATACTTTAAAAGTGTCTTTGTAATCTCAATTCTGAGAACCTGAGTTAGTACTAGAGTATAAAAACAGATCCTTTGCTTTGCACTCAGCTAAGGGACTGACTCCCAAATCTACAGCCTTAATTCTCCCTCATCCCAAACCTATGTTTTCCACACCTTCTCGGTTAATGACGTCATTGTGCTCCTAGTGACCTGGTCTGCCGTGTGGAGCCTTCCGTTCTCCCTCACACTGACATCGTGGGGGTGGGGGTCGGGGGGGCATAGTGGTTATGCCACTTTCCAGTCTGGCTTCCTGCTTGAGATTGCTTGCCACCTTTGGTGGTTATCTTTCTCCTCTACGTGTTAAATGCTGCGATTTACATTTTCTTTGGTTTATCTATAGCAGAGTTTCTGTCATTTTTCCTCTGAAGCGGTTCAGTCTCTGTGGTTTGTGATTATTAAAGTTACATTGCCATTGTTCCCCCTTTTAAAAGATTTTAGACAGTGTTGGAATCTGAGAGATGACTATGATTAGTTTTGATTCCATTCTAATTTCTATTTTAAGGGAGAAATATGAACTAATTTCCATATTTATATGCCTTCCTAGTCCTGTAACAATAAGATGCTTAATTAATGGGTGACAGTGGTCAGTTGGGCCGTCTCTCGTTTACTTTCTGAAGAGTGATGAAGGCTTTGGGAGGTGGATTTTCCTCGCGCTTGCTGTCTCTGGCCGTGGAACAGTAAGGCCATGGCAGTCATTTGAGAGCCCCTAGAAAACGTTTATTGTGTGTATGGGCACTGCCAGATAGGGACAGCAAATGAGTAGAATGTAGTGTCTGATCTGCTGAGGGGTGAGTAAGACGTAGATGTCTCCACACTGCACGGTGGCTCTAAACACTGAGAACAGGAACTGTTTCTTCTTGCGTTGCTTTCTGACATCTCGTGGTGCACAGCAGGGACCCTCAACGTCTGGAATTATTGGACCTTCTTGTCATCAGGCAGTCACATAGGTTGTGAACTTGAAGTGGTATTCAGGAGAGGAGCAAGATTCCATCGGCAGTTTGTGATGGGATGGGTTGAAAATTGGGAACCTTCCTAGGAGGGACCCCTGTGGTAGAGCTGGTGGTAGGACAGGATCTTTGGGGATGGAATACTGCCTCATTCGATCATAGAGAACAAGGAGGAGTTTTGGTGGTATTTTGGAGGCCAAGGAGAGCTCTGGAAGGATCTTCAGCAGGTAAGTTATGTGATCACATCAGTATTTTAGATTAATTTGACAACATTGGGGGGGTGGTTTCGGAGATGAGCAAGACTAGTAAAGAGGTTGCTGTGGTGATTTAGTTGAGAAATGATAGAAGTGAAGATAAACCTAAAGATAGTGTAAAAATAAAAATCCTCATCAATCTCCCATTCCCTGGAGATAATCACTCGTAGTGTGGTTGACGTGTTATCACATTTGAAATACTAAGTTTTTGAAATAAATTAATGGGGTGTTTGTTACCTGGTTCTAGTTTGGCAACAGCTCTGGTGTGATTTAAATGTAAGTTGCCTATTTGAAATTCAACTAGTGTGAATTTGATTTCAGGAACCTGGAATTGACCGTTTATGTTTTTGACTTCAAGAGGTGCCCTCTTGGCTCACAAGAGGGCAGGTCTTCCTAGGTTTCTCACTTTTGTCACTGTATTCTTTAAGCCGCACTCTGACAGCCGTGCACGACGCCATCTTGGAGGACTTGGTTTTCCCAAGTGAAATTGTGGGCAAGAGAATCCGCGTGAAACTGGATGGCAGCCGGCTCATAAAGGTCCATCTGGATAAAGCACAGCAGAACAATGTGGAACACAAGGTAGTGGTTCTTTTTTTTTATTGTGGAAGGGTCCAGACACAGATGAGGGTCGAATGCAGCATAACGTGCTCCGTGTACCACCAGAACCAATAATTGTAAACTCAGTGGCCGGCTTTCTTTCATCTGTGTCTTGGCCCACTTCCCATTGGATTGTGTGTCACGTTTTAAATTGGGAGATTTTTAAAAGTTGTTATTCTCTACCTTTTAAGTGAGGAAAAATGGAATGAAAGTAATGGCATGGTAATGACTTTTAGTAAGGCTGTATATTCTTTAGGGGCAGGGTGGTGGTGGTGGTAGAATCTGGGAGAACTGTCACTTTCATTCATTCCTGGTAAAGCATAACTGATGTGGACAGCCCCTGGGGTCCCCCAGGGACTCTGTCCATGTGGCCAGAGGAGCACAGCGCTCAGGTGCAGTAGTATAGCGTCCTGACCCACGACATTGGAGATGAGCTTGTCCCCAGTCTTGGGACTGTGGAGGGCTCGTCCTGTATATTCATTGTCTTCTCAGTGCCTGGTTGCTGGGGACAGAAACCATATGGGGCACAATTTCACAAAATTATTAGACTTTAAGATGAATGTGTGTATTTAAAAGTTTTGTGATGAATTATTTCTTTTTTTGTAGGTTGAAACTTTTTCTGGTGTTTATAAGAAGCTCACAGGCAAGGATGTTAATTTTGAATTCCCAGAGTTTCAGTTGTAAACAAAAATGACTAAATAAAATATCATTCACAATATTCTGTTTTAGGCATGTTTTTCAAAATTTCAGAGACATGGATGCACAACTGTCTACATTATTAGTAGCTTCCTTCACAGCCTGGAAGATTTTGAACAGAGGTGCCTGAAGTTTGTGCCAAGAAGTTTGATGATGCATGTGAGGGATATACTTGTATACACTGTATGTATACAGTGATGTAATAGTTGTAATCATATGAAATTGCCAAAAATGGTGAATATTGGCACTTTCACATGGTTCAACCTAAAGATACACAGGTATCAACAGTATGGGTAAAGGAATGACTTAGCCTTCATCCTGGCTCCCAGGACAGTGCTGTAACGTGACGGGAATGCTGTGTCTTCTGGGAAGCCACACTTAAAAAAATAAGCTTAAGAGAAAGAGGCCAGGTTTCAGGACTTGAGAACGGGCCAAGGGTAGTTCCTCCAAAGAAACAGTGTTTTCCAAGAGCAAAATCTGATGAGAAAGTAGTGTTTTATTCACTGAATTTGTTTTATTGTGGTAAAAATCATGCGAAATTTATCATCTGACCCATTTTTAAGTGTACAGTTGAGTAGCCTTGTGTATATTTACATTGTTGTGAAACTGATCTCCAGAACCTTTCATCTTAACTGAAACTATGCCCAGTAAACAACTCCCTTTTTCCCTTCCCCCAGAATCATTGAATTTTCATACATAAATTTGTGTTAGATCTTAAATGGACTTTAAAAAGGAAAGTGTAAGAGTATGATTAAATAGATTTTAATATACTCTAAGTGGTGTGTTAACTTGGGGTAGGTAAGCTACTCTACTTGGTTTTCCAGTCCTAAAATGAAGGCTTTGAGACGAGCACTGCACTGCAAGTGAGGGCCCTGGAGCAGCGATAGATGACCACACTGCCCCAGAGAGTGGAGTTGTTACCGCACAAAGGGCGTGCTTGCTGCGAGACAAAAGCCAACTGTCTAGAGGCAAGATGGTGGCAGAGAAAGGGCAGTTTATTACAGCTTACTAGCAAGGGGGAAGATGGCTGACTCATGTCAGAAAGAACTGTCTTACAGAACAGATTATATAGGGGGCTGGTCTCTGGGTGGGGGCATCCATCTGTTCTTAGTTCCTGATAGTCTTCTGTTTTACTGGATATGCAGAGAACAGACCAACGCCCTATACCCTGATCTTTCAGTTTTCATTGATGATGGCTGTCAGCATAGACTTTCTGCCCCTGGGGTCATCACATTCCTAAGGAGCTAAAGAGAACCAAGTTATCAATTTAAAGCAGCCCGGGGCGGGGGTGATGCATAAAATCCATAGAGATTGTCTGGTTTAGTTAATCAGAGCTCATTCAAAGTTACAGTATGGTTTCTTTTGTACATTATGGCTTCCCTGTGTCATCCTTGTGTTGAGCTGGTATCAGAGCAGTCTGCAGTTCTATTTGTGCCACGTGGCTTTCAAGGATTGCTAAACCTTAAAATTACCTTGCAAGACCTGCCTTCCTGTTTATGTAGAGTGAAGAAATTTTGTTAAGAAAGGCAACCCCAAGTAACGTGTTTTATATCAAATTAGTCCTACATGGAAAGTAGCTCATTTAGTCCCAGTAAGCCTGTGAGGTGAAACAGTATTTTCCCTTTTTGCAAATAAGGGCCAGGCCTTGTGAGAATTGCAGCTGATCTCAGACGCCTGGTGCTGTTGTAGAGGCGAGAGGCTGGCGGTGCGGCATATGAGATGTTTGATGCCTGTGAGTGCCCTTGATGCTGCCCCTGCTTGGTGGCTGAGGCCTTGGTAGATTCACAGGTCAGTGAGGAAGGCCCCCCCCCCCTTAAGCAGTCACCAAGAGCCCTCCTTTTTATCCTTAGAGAAGCCGGTTTGCCCCTTGCTCATTACTACTGCCTGTGCCCTGCTAGTTCCTGTCACGTTACGCTCGGTGGCTCCCGGTTTGGAATGTATGATTTTCTTAGGCCCTGGATGATGTGCTGCGAACCCACCTCACCCTTCCCCAGCACGAAGCCATCTTTTGCTCTGCATTTTTTGTGCCTTTGCCGTGGGATTCTGTTTGTCTTAATTATCATCATCTCCAACAATGTCTAGCATATATTTGGTCTTCAGAAAATACCAGATGAACATAAGGGAGGAAAATTCAGTTTTTGTGGCTGTAAACCCAGAAACTGATCTGAGTTATAGGTGGATGTATATTTTTACTTTAGGAGCATAGCTTAAGAACGTAGTGTTCTTAGGGTGTCACTGCTCTGAGGCTATTTTCTCATCTGTAAAATGAGATTTTACTATTTTATAACTGAAACAATACTGAATTTTTTAATAAAGAAGTGGCTAAGTAGTGCTAGGGATTTTAAGTGTGTGCTTCATTAAACTGCACTTGTTAGGCCTTTGGGGTCAGCCACCACGTCTCCATAACCTGGGAGTTTCAGGGTCTGGAGCTGCTCTCCAAATGGGACATATCGGATGAGCCTGAGGGGAGGAAACAGGTGAAGCTTCTTAGCTTTAAGTTACAGGAGGTGACATGAGTTAAATATGGAGGAGCTGATAAGCAAATTCAGTCTTGTTTTCTTCAGCTTATAAAATACTGCTGTTACAAGTACCCAGTTATGGGGTTTTGTGGGTAATGTTAAGCAGTTGAATCTTTGAATAAGATGGGCAGTGATTATGAAACTTGGTAGTATTCACAGGTTCACTGGTGAGTCTCTGGGAAACAAGATTTACAGGCTACTCTAGAATGTTAGGCTTTTTTTTTTTGCTGAGGAAGATTCACCCTGAGCTAACATGTGTGCCAATCTTCCTCTATTTTGTATGTGGGTCACTGCCACACCATTGCTGCTGACAAGTGGTATAGGTCTGCGCCTGGGAACTGAACCTGGACAGCTGAGGTGGAGAGCACCAAACTTAACCACTGGCCGTGGGGCCAGCCCTAGGCATTTTTTTAAAACAGTATTCTGACTTTGTTGATTTTTCTATGATGCGAAGTGTCTATTAGTAAGTATGGCTGGTAGACATTAAAACAAAAAATCCATCTCCAAGAAAAATTGTAGCATTATGTGAGAAAACAATTGCTTTTGAAACTAGTTTGTACTAAGGAGTGAGCATATTTTAAGATGGCCAGTGGGAAACGTTTCCATTTTAGGTACGTGTTAATATGTCACCTGTAAGATACTTGCATACTATGAAAACTTGGAAATAGAATATTCTAACCCATTGAAAACTGTTATGAAGATTTTAAGCTGCCTTTGAATTCATTTGGTAGAAATTTAAGTATGCAGTACCTTCGTTACTTTACAGGAGCAAAGATTACCACAGTACCAGGAAAGATGGAAAATTTTGGTTGTTTTCAACAAAAGCTTCGTGCAATTGCTGAATAGGAAGCATAGCCAGTGATATACTTCCTTTTGCATCTGTCTTTTAGAGGGTCTTTTAAAAAGCCTTTTATAGTGGAAAATTCCTATCATATATACCAAAGTATAACAGTACAGTGTCATGCCCTGCACCTACCGCCAGCTTCAGCACTTGTCACATTTCGCTAATACTGGAGATTTTTGCTGCAGATTTTTGAAGCAAATTCTAGACATATTAGGAATCTTCTTTTAGCTATGATAATTGTTAAAATCCAGTATCAAAATAAACTAAATTTAGAACCAATTTTTAAGTTGCTATATCAAAATATTAGACCAAGATTTAAAAACTGTCAGTCACATTGCTTTCACTAAAATTAGTATTTTGGTGAACAAGAAGGTATGTATTGTTACTATTTTTGTCCATTTAAAATTTCTCTGTGTTTATAGCAACATCCATACACTTAGTATTGTCGTGCATTCTATACTATGTGATAACTATACACATATTGGAGATAACATGCTTAAAAATTTTACTTGATGGGGTGCACAACAAAGTATTTTGGGGACTAGAGTGCTAAACTCTTGTCACCACAATTTTCCTCAGCAAACTTGTGTCAAAAGAGAAACTTAAATATATAGAATATCTTTGGAAGGTTAGATCCAAGACCTGCAAGAATGAATGTGTATGCATTTGTTAGGGAAAGTAATTGTTTTTAGATCTTCCTTTTCCCATCTAGTTATGTATTAGTCCAGTCATTTCTCCCAGATTCGTACAATATAGTAGAAGAACTGATGAAGGTACACATGGCTGCAAAGTTTCTCAGTAGTAGAGCATTTTGAGTTTTTTGAGGTACTGAGATGCATAATATTAGATCTCTAAAGTAGGTATTTGACTTGATATTTACAAAAATTTATGACAATACAGCCACAGTCTAATGAAAATAGAGATATTTCAACTGCCAGAGATGGGCTTGGTTACTAAGATTATTGCTGGAGAAGCTATTAATGCTTTTAACTGAGTTGAAGTATTCTCACTGCAGTCAGCAGCAGCAGCAATGGGTGAGTGGTTGCAATGAAGTTGATGCTGAGTGCCTCTTTGCAAATTACATTTTTGCTCACACTTCCTCACAGATAAACTCGTTTGTGCTCTGTAAGAACATGTTTAAATGAGGCTACCATTTCACCTAGTGTTCTATTGTCTGCACCTAAAACAGCCTAGCCATTCCCTTGACAAGAGAACAAATCACAGCCTACTCAGTTTGTAATCATGGACAGAACCCAGCATGCTGCATAGACAGTTATCATTCTGCTAATTTTATTCCTAACTGTTCGTGTTTTGCATTTTGCAAGCCTGGAGTACCTGAGACATTCCAACTAGGGCCATAAAGCAGTGCTGACCACCAGTCACAGTTTAATCTACTACAGGTGGGGTCTGTGCCTAGAACTTGGCAGGGGGTCCAGTGGTGGACTGGAACGCTCCTGAATGGGAGCTGTGGCCTTAGATAAGTTGCCTTATTTCTCTGGACCTCACTTCTCATTTGTAAAGTGAAGGGTTAGCTGAGACCAGCTGAGTCTAACAGTCCTATTCTAGAAGTCATTGAACTTAAGTAATAAAAGTCATTCATTACAGACTACTTCCAGCACCTGTCAAGGAGGTGTATGTGCCTAGCAGGGTGCCTGG